CCCCAAAACCCCAAAACCCCTGAAGACTTAATTTACTTGCAAAATTAATGGTAGTAAAATATTAATTGGAAAATTCACAAATGTCTCAGATGCTATTAAGAGTACAGAAAAACATAAAAAAGTCGTAAATCATAAGCAAAGCAATGTTCTTTAGTCAAGCAAAGTCATAAACAATTCCAAACTTGTAGTCATAACAGACATAAAAAGAAATTCAAGATACTGATGTTTTGATAGTTGGAGGTGGTATTGCAGGGGCATCACTTGCATGTGCTCTTTCATCATCACAGTACTTTGACACTAAAGATCATTCAAGCCAGAAACTTAAAAAAATTGTGCTTCTGGATCATACAAAGTTGCCTTCAATGTCAGCTTACAGAGAGGATAGTCAAAATTTATCAAAAGACAAAAGAATACCAGAACCAAGAGTTATTACTTTATCCCCTAACTCACTTAGATTTCTGAGATCAATTGGGGTACTTCAAAAATGCAATTAGAAATTTATCACAGAGTTCCATGATATGCTTGTTTATGAAGAGATGGGAAATGCATATATGAGATTTGGTTCTTAAAATAGGTAGCAATCTTCGATGATACAATTTTAAGAATACTTGATGAAAAATTTGTTATTTAATGAGGAACAAAGATAAGTTTTTGAGGAATCTTAGAGTCATATGGGTGCTTCTGTTGAGAACAATCATTTGCTGGCTGGATTAGTAGAAAGAACCTAGGAACTTAATAAATGTCAGATTTTATAAAGAAAAGTGGTTAAGATTGAAGTTCCGAAAAGCCAAAGTGAAAAGCCTATTGTTGAATTAGACGACGGGACACTAATAAGAGCTAAACTAGTGATAGGCAGCGATGGAGAAAAATCAAAAGTAAGGGAGGAATTTGGAATTAGGGCAAGTGGATATAGCTATGGACAAAATGGACTTGTGTGTACTGTAAGAACAATTAGACCAAATACAATTGCTTATTAAAGATTTCTTAGAACTGGACCATTGGCTCTATTACCTTTATGGGATAATCATTCATCTATTGTTTGGTCTTGCCCACCAGAACTTTCAAAAGATTTGATTGATGTTTCTGAGGATAAATTTGTAGAATTACTAAATTAAGCTCTCTAGAAATCATCCGATCATTCTCTCATGGGCTAAATTCCAGATAGAGTTTTGAAAAGAAATACATTTGAACTTCCACCAATTATTGATAAGTTAGAAACTAAGAGATTTGCTTTCCCATTATCTTTGCTCCAATCAGAAAATCTAGCTGCTTAAAGAGTTGCTTTAATAGGCGATGCTGCTCATAGGGTTCATCCGTTAGCTGGTCAAGGAATGAACATAGGCTTAACAGGAGTGGCTTATTTAGCCAATTAAGTTGTTTAAGCTAAGAAATGTGGATTAGATATTGGTGATTATGGTAATGTATTAAGTGATTATGAAAGAAAAGAAAATATAAACGCCAAAATGATGATTTCTTCAATTGAATTTGTGAAAGCCAGTTATTCAGGAAGAATTTACGGATCTGAGAGAATTGCTGATTCAACTCTAGGAGTTTTAAGAAATGTATTTATTGATTTGATTCAAACATCCAATATTGCAAAGTACAACTTCATGAATTATGCTTCCGGCAATCTAAATCATCCAATAACATATGAATGGTAAAAAAATTGAAATAGACAAGACTGAGTTTAATTTATTGAATTTAATTTTTATTCTTAGACTTTAATTATTGATAATTGACATCATGGGGTTTTGGGGTTTTGGGGTTTTGGGG